TTTGTCAGCCATTGCAATTTCTTTTCTGAGCTAATTCACTCATCTTACTACTACTCTGATAACAATTTGTATGCATTTCTTTTGTACTAGAAATGCAAAGGTAAGAAGCTATAAGTTCCTTATGCTGTGTTGAAAATTTGTATATCTTATCAGCCTCTTTAAGTTCTTTTGTGTGTGTGTGTGTTTCTAATCCTTTAAAATAACCACAAAAAAGAAGTTCTTCTTCATTGTTCTGGAAAAATCTTGTAGCTATCTTTATTAGCATATTATCCCCAGTTTTAATTTTTTGTTTGTATATGTTTCTGTCACATAAATACCTGGTAATTATTTATCTGATACATAGAACAGAACTTGATACTAAAAAGGACTTCTAACGTTTGAAATGATGTTGAATGATAACATTTACTTGTTCTCATCTTTTCAGTTTCTTCTTTACAACGTCAGAGTTCCTAAGTCTGTATCCACAACCTTGATAGTTTCTTATTGGACCTCCAAGTGGTTCAGTGATTGGAAATAGAACATTTAACTAATGACCTTTTAAAAGATTCTTTTCATGTCTATATAAATTTGTCTCCTTAGTTCACATTGGTAACAAACAATTATGCTTGGTTATTACACCTATTCTTTATAAAGTAAGTTTATTGCCAGTAATTTTTATTGCTTACGTTGGGTCAATAATTTTTATTAAAAGAAAAGCAGTTGGGAGGGAGGGGGGAAAATGAGGAGCTGATGCTAGGGGCTTAAGTGGAGAGCAAATGTTTTGAGAATGATGAGGGCAATGAATGGACAAATGGGCTTTATACAATTGATGTGTGTATGGATTGTGATAAGAGTTGTATGAACCCCTAATAAAATGATTTTTAAAAGAAAAGTTATTTGAAATAATATCAGGTCAATAAGATATTTGTAATAGAACTGTTGTTGGATCATCAACAGCGGGCTGGCAAATTCTATGAAATGTCTGTTCATGAGTTCCTAGTACTCTAAAACCACAATAATAAAGAAAATGTGGTATTGTGCAAAGGGTGGGCATAAGTCAATGCAACAAAATCCAGAAGTAGTCGCGCACTTATTTGGTTAATTGCCGTTGTCAAAAGTGCAAAGACAATGGAGAAAGGGTGATCTTTTGTAAGCAATGGGGAAAGGGAAATTGGATACCCATATATAAAGCAGTGAGCACAGTGAACCTCAACTTATGTCTCATGCCATATATAAAAATTAACTCTAAATGGAGCAGTAGTCTGTTCTTGCCACTTCCATTGACATTATCCTAGATGTTTTAGACAGGCTAATTAGTTAATTAAAGGAAATAAGTGCATCAAGATGGAAAAGGAAGAAACAAAACCATTTCTTTTTGAGGACGACATCATCTTGGATATACAAAGTCCTGAGTGATCAACAAGAAACTATTATTGCAAAGAACCAGTTGAGCATGGCTTTCGGGTTACAAAATCAACATGCAAAAGTCAGTTATATTTATGTAGATTATCAGTGAACTACTGTATGTATTTGTGTATAAGCCATGTTTTTCAGCACATTTTTAATGCACTTTTGTGGTAAAATTAGGTGCCTCTGCTGATACTTGGGGCGGCTTATGCTCGAGTCTATACAGGATTTAAAAATGAAAATAAACAATTCCATTTATAATATATATTGGAATGATAACTTATATAATAAACATAGTTTATAATATTTTATATAATTTATATTATATTCTTAATTTATAGCAATAAAATATGTAGGAATAAATTTAACCAATGAATTCTAAAACTTGTACACTGAAAACTACAAAACAATATTGCAAGAAATGAAATAAATTGAAACAGCCTGTTTTTATAGGTTAGAAGGCTTGATACTGCTAAGGGGACAAAGCAAAAGAATAAATGCAAACCAATCCCACTCCTGTGGAGTCGGTTCTGACTCATAGCACAATATATAGGGTTTCCAAGAATAGCTCTTTACAAGAACAGACAGCTTTGTTTTTGCCCCTTGCAGCAGCAGGTGGATTTGAGCCATCCATCTTGCTGTTAGCAGCCCAACACCTCACCCACAGCATCACCCTGGCTCCTTGGTAAGGGGCCACTCCCTCTCCCCACAAAATGTAAAACACCCCCTCATCAAGTCAATTCCTACTCAGGTGACCCTAGTGATGTTTTGAGAATATAGATCCTTATGGGAGCAGATAGCAACACAGCTTTGTCCTTGGATACAGCTGGTGGGTTTGAACCATTAGCTTTGTAGTTAGCCATCCAATGTTTATCTGACACTGCCATCAGAATGCCTTTGTCAATGTGACAGTACTTCTAGTCTTGATGTACAGATTTAATGCAATCTCCGCTAGCTTTTTTGGTAGAAATTGACAAGATATTGATGAAAGCAATGACTTTCATTATATGTAATGACTCATCTAAGACACATTGTCTCTCTTTAGAAAGAAAGACTTTATTACGATAATTATTGTCTGTAATCTATGTGAAAAGCAATTATGACTTTACAACCAATGATAAGGACTATTTAATAAAAGCACCTGAACTGTTGTTATAAGAATTTGAATTTTACAGCTTTGTCTTTTAGTTATGTGTGAATTTGCCCAAGAAAATGCGTGATATTTAAATTACTTGTGACTTACATTTGCAAATAACTTTGATGTTGTAATAATGAGACTGGCTCTGGCGCAGTTTCCTTTCATGTTCTTTCTGTCTTTATATTTCAGGCCTTCTTGGCAATGAGATTTATAGCTTATTTGCCTTTTGTTGCTTAAGCTGCAAGGTGGTAACCACAAATCATATAGAAATTACAAATAACCAAATCGATGCATCTTTTCCAGAATGTGCTATATATTTCCTTCTGATCTGTGGCCTTTGAGTGAGTTCTATTTATGTTAAATGAGCCGTAGTAATTAGCATAAGACTTATTAACAAAATTTAGCTGAAATTCCATAAATTAGTTATTAGGGAAGCGTATCACTTAAGTAGAAATAATGAAAGAAAGTGTGAGATGGTCCCAGCTACCCTGCCTTAACATATTAGTACATTGAAATCATACACAATTGAAGTAATATTTTGAGAGCATACATTTAAAAAACAACAACAGAATGTTATAAGAGCTGTAAGAGTCCCCAATAAAATAGTTTTAAAAATAAAGATTAAAAACAAACAGGAAAATTACTCAACTTATATCTGCAAGGTCATGATAAGCATTATTAGTTAAACTTTAGAGAATTGTGGTTTGTTTTTATCAAGCTGTTCTTCACGGTGAACTACTTCACACCGTTTTCTTGGTTATAATATTTACAGAATCTAGCTCACCAGGTGTCATTGAAGTGGTATGGGCCAACGCCCGTTAGTTTGAGTGCAAATTGTGATACCCAGGGACTTCGTGCAGGAGCCCTGGAATTGTAGTGGTTACACATAGGGCTGCAACACTCTTTGTCGACAGTTGGAAACTACCGGCAGCTCCATGGGAGAAAGACTGCTTGCCACTCCCATTATGAGTCATCTTTGACTGGATGGCAGTGTGTTTTAGGGGCTTATTGATGGCAATGAGTTGGAATTGACTTAATGGCATCAGGTTTATGTTCTTTACATCTCATACTTGACTTAGAACATTAACTGTCATTTCCATAAATCAAAATGTAAAATACAAAGCTGTCCTGTCTATTAAAAATCCCAGAAACATTTGTGATCTTAAGTTAGGCAAATAGTTCTTCCATTCAGTACCAGGAAAAAGATAGAAACAAATTACTGGTTGTGCTTTATCTCCCTTCAAATATTCTTTTTTTCTCAAAGTTCTTTAAGTGAATAAAAAGACAAAGCACTGCCTTGCAGAAAATGTTCACAAATCATAATCTAGGCTTGTAGCAAAACTCATGAAGATCCGGAAGTGAGCCTTTGCAGTCCTCATCAGTCGATTTTCAACAAGGTTGCCAGGGTTCTTCAGTGAGGGAGAGGATAGTCTTTCGCCAACCAATGGTGCTGGTCAACTGGATATACACCATGCAAAAGAAAGACCTTGCATAAGTAGGAACTTTTAACATTAAAGAAATCAATTCAAAATGGATGAGAGAACTAAGGGATAAAACTCCAGAAGAAGACATAGGCCTAAATCTTTGTGACCTTGGATCACGTAGTGTCTTCTAAGATACGTCATCAAGAGCATAGACAACCAAAGAAAACACAGTCTTTTTAAGCCCTCAAAGAGCACTAAACAAATGTGGGACAATAGCACACACAGAATAAGAGAATATATTTTCAAATTATGTCTTTGGCTTTTAGGTCTGTCGCATCCTGTGTCTCATGCGTGATCTCTGGTGTTTATACTTAGGTCTGTAGTCCTACCCATGGAAACTTTACATGCAGGTGCCATATTCTCCTCCCCATGTTTGCTTGAACTTACTACTCCTGTAGCCAAATTAAGATCTTCCTCTTTTGCTTTCTCTTGCTATCCCATGTTGATTAATAGCAATCGAATTGTAATTAAATTGTACATTAGCTTTTTCAAATCTATGTATTTAAATTTTGGGGGGTAAATCTTATTATTGGGGGCTCTTACAGCTCTTATCACAATCCATATATCCATCTACTGTGTCAAGCACATTCATATATATGTTGCCATCATCATTTTAAAAACGTTTCTTTCTACTTGAGCCCTTAGTATCAGCTTATTTTCGGCCCTCCCCAGCCCTCACTCCCTCATGAAAACTATATTTATTATTCGTGTAACTATTTTACATCTATCTGTACCCCCTACTTCCTCATCTCCCGATACTGTTTATAGTTAAGTGATACTTGATCTTACTAGAATCTGTTGTTTCCTTTCCTTTCACTAAACTGAAATTCTTCTGAGATCAGTTCTGTAGATACCTTTTTACACTTATCTTAGCCAAAAAGGCCAAGAAGCAATGTGGTAGATACCTTTTTAAATGATTAGTGGAATCATTGCAAACCTGTCAACCAAGCAAGCTAACCCTGGATACTTTTCTTTGTTTGTTACTTTTTTAGGGAAACTGAACAGCCAAGACTCCTACAACAATTTTACTAACAACAACCCTGGCAACCCGCGCCTATCTCCTCTCCCCAGCTTGATGGTAGTGATGCCTCTTGCTCAAATCAAGCAGCCAATGACCTTGGGGACCATCACCAAGCGAACAGGGTAAGGCCTCAAGTTTGATAACTTCTCACAGCTATTTTAGAGGGTTGAATGCATCAAAGAAAATACACTTTTTCTTTGTGAGGCATTGTTTATGTCTTTATATATAGTATAGAACTTGCACAAACATACTCGTACACAATCATAGGAAAAAACTAAGCAGTGACACATTGGCTAATAGAAACCAGATCCATCTTCTAGTTATTGCTTTGTGACTTTGCCTGTAAGTGCTGTTTCGGTTTCTTGCTCATGTAGACTTGATCTGGATTTATAATGACTCCCAAATTTAGTCTGATAACAATACTAAGGGGAGTGAGTACTTTAGGTAGTGACTATGTTTGTAGTTCTTAAAATCTCACTATGCATAATTTACATATAATAATTTATCATTATTGTGAAGACAATGTGATATTATGGCTAGTGTTTAAAACCAAACTTCCAAGATTTGCGTGTTATTTAAAGTTGGTCTTTAATATCTTCAGATACTTTGAATGACTTTAAAAATTTTTTGCTTCTTTTGGCTTTTTTTAAATGTTCTGCTTTGGGGAAAATGAAATGATCATTTCCTGGGCTCCTTAAAGTCACTTTTGTGATGAGAAATACTCAATATTAAGAGGAACAAGGCCTTTGAGCTCCAGATTTCACTAGTAGACAGAAATGGACCATCGACTTTGCTAGGTGGAGTGAAGTTTGTATAAAAGTGGCCCTATTGCTGTGTGAAGAAGGGGTGTGGGAGGGGAGAAGGAAAAGACAGCAGCTTCCAAAGCAGACCTTTTATGGCACAGATAGCCGGCTTTTCCCTCTGCTCATTGATTTTAGCTTTTTAACTCTATAGTCATGAAAAGTTTAATTTTAAATGGAATGTTTTCCTTCTTTCTTTTTTAGTTTATCTATTTTAAAATAAAAAATAGGAGTGGCAATGAAATATAGCACTTATAGTTAAAGTTAGCTCGTTTTTTATATGACATTAATTTCCTGGATAGAGTATCAAATAAAAATGGGACTAAACCTTGAATCATAATTAAAAAATTTTTTCACTCACTGAATCTCGGCACTACATAATAGAATCATTTTTGAAAAGTAAAATAATTGTATCCTCTTGATTCAACCAAATATTCTGTAATTTTTTTAAAGTATTACAGAATTTTTGCCTGTTTTTCTTGAATCTGTGGAAAGGACTATTCAGAATTGTTCTTCTGAGTTTAATTTTACTTCCAAAATAAGGGGATTACAAATAAGAGAGTTGGAAACCTGGAGTCATGAAGACATATTCTGGTGTTTTGTTTCTGGGTTTATTGTATTTTATGAAATATAAGAGGTACGCTGTCTTTATAATTTTAAATGCTTGCTCTCTTTATTGAATTGGCTCCTCAAAATATATCTGTAAGATAGTAATTGGAGTTTTATGGATAAAATGATATGCTGTTAAAATTTCAGGATATTTGGGAGGGGTTTAAGGAGTGAATATAAAAGTGAATGAAATAAGACGGGTCATGTGTTGATAGCTAGATGGTACATGGTATTTCATTACATTACTTATTCAACTTTTCTGCATTTTAAAAGTTTTCATCATAAAAAGATAAAATCTTTTGCATGATCTTTTCCCTCCCTTCTCCTTACCTTTGATTCCTTCTCCTGTCCTTCCTTCCCTCTCCCTACTTTTAAGGTGGGTAGAAATTATTGAGCATCTGGTGTCTTCCTGTATGTTGTTGTTGTTGGTGTTTGTATTCTCCGATTTTGGAACTATGTATACTGTGCTACCTCATCTTATGGATTCTTTCAACACTAAATTAATTATGAATGAAATCCTATGATTTTGAGATACCTTATCTGTTTAAAATTAATATTAGTGCAACATAAATATATCATTTTTCACTAGGCTTTTTAACTCAATGCTCAAACCATTTGTTACTATACGTTTTAGAGCTCAATTTACTACATCCTGTATTAAAATCTTTAAAGAAACTATTATTTGCACAAAATGAGGATTTGGTATAAATTTGTTTTCTTTTTTGAAAATTTCAGTTTACAAAAGTGTAGCAAGAACAATAAAAAGAACTTCTGTTTACCCAAATTTTTCTAATATTAAAAATATTTGCTTTATTATTCTCACTCTCTACAAACACATACAACTCTGTGCCTCTCTCTCTTTCTCACACAGACACACTCCCACAAACATCCCTTTCTCTATACTGCAAACTTAATATTCATCTATTTCTACATACTTCATGATTCCTAAAAACAAGGACTTTTTAAAATCTACCATTGATCGTAATCAAAAGACGAGATCTTGAAACTATTATTATTAGTTTTTCATATAATTATTCTCTGGCACATTTTCTACTTGTGGCAGAGCTGTAGAGTCTCACAAATAACCCCTTTTTAGTCACCAGTAAAGTCTTGGGTGTTTTTAGTCATAACTTATACTTTCCATTACTGGTTTAAACAAACCCTGAGAACACTTTCAGAAGCATTTGTTGATTATACCCAGCAGTTGCTGTGTGACTTTATTTATCATTCTTTTACAATAACCCAACCAAAGAGTTGGTCACAGAGTGGTCAGAATATATGTTGTGGTCTTATTATCCTCAAATTTAGCACTTACATGATAATAGGTGTGTTTTTCTTGTCAAAAGTAATTTGCTTTGCAAGAACAAAATTCCCCATCGTTCCCATTTTTTATGTATACTGAGATTTGAAGCATATTCCAGCTGGCTTTTCATTTCGTCCTATTTGATTTTAAAGGAGCCCTGCTGGCGTAGTGGATTATGCGTTGGGCTGCTAACTGCAAGGTCAGCAGTTTGAATCCACCAGCTATTCTGCAGGAAAGGATAATGCTCTTTGCTCCCATAAATATATATGGCCCTAGAAACCCAAAGGGGCTTTTCCGCCCTACCTTTTAGGGTCATTATGAATTGGAATACAGCAGTGGGTGGATTATAAGTATTTCAATTTTAAATATTTTTACTATGACCAGTTCTGAGCGCTTCAGTTCGTTAGTTTGCATTAATTATTTACATTAAGTGTTACTGTATTTGCCGAGACATTTAATTGGAGCACTGGCCACCAGGTGAGGGGAAAATGGGGTTTCCATTTTCCAGGTCTCCAATTTCGTGGAACTCTAGTGTCTATGAAACGCCTTTCTTACTTTTTTTTCCTATTTTGTTTTAATTGCTGTGAAATTTACATAATGTACTATCATCATTTTAAAGTATCCAGAGTTCACAAACACCTAATTAAGCTCCTAGTGTGATAAAATTCGCAAGAAGTATTTCAAATTGGTTATTAAGAAAAAACATGGAACCTACCCTTTTGTAAACATGTAACAACTGTGAATATTTCCAGTACACCTAATCCTGTCTCTAGTAAGGTTATGTACTTACATAGGTTATATCAGTTTTTATTTATTCTGTGTCAGGTATATAGCATTAAAGGTAGAAATGACCATAAAAATGTTACATTTCTGCAGCAGAGATTTTTCTAAGGCTACTTTGAGATCTAGTGTTTAAATCTCCAAATGGAGATGGAACATTTTTCTAAGGCTACTTTGAGATCTAGTGTTTAAATCTCCAAATGGAGATGGAACTTCAACCCAAACCTTCAGGGATAAAACGTGTGCCTACCATATTTAACATCTGCTCTCTTATTTTTGGAAATACATATCCCTGAAAGCTTGTGCAGTGTAACGTTTAACCAGGACAGGGACCATCTGTCTGGCTCCGAGACATGCAGGAAGACTACACATGGCAGTGGACAGATGTATTTACACCTTCTTGTCCTGGACCTTGAAGCACCACGTGGAAGAAAGAAGGCCTGCTTTGGCAACAGCCGTTCCCCACCCCATAACAGTGCGCATTGATCAAGGCAGCAGGAGGGGCTAGAAATCATTTCGTTTAACAATCACTGCCTATCACCCTCTCAAACAGAGTTCTCTTTAGATGGGAGGGTTGAAAAGCCAGTTTACCATCTCCATCTTGTATAAACAAGAGCCTGCTCTCCTTCATTTGCTAAGAGTCACGTTGGCTGCTAAAAATTTAGGTTTTTATAGTAGGGATTTTGTTAGGCTTATTCTATGGGTATTTGGTTTAATTAGTGAATAAAATAAACTGTTTTATAAAAACACATTTTTAAAATCAGAATGTTTCATTTCATCAGCTTTAAATCTTGAATTATTGATACATATTATATTGTAAGCACAAGCAGAGAACAGTAAACATCAGAAAAAAATCAGAGTAGTTTTATGGGAATAAGGAATATAAAAATTGAGATTGAAGTGGCTTTCTTGCTCTTAATGAGCTGTGCATATTTAAAGAGTAAATATTAGGTGATCTGTGCACTTTCATGGAAGAAGCTTTGTTATCCTTGCCCCTCCCTTTGTTTTTATACAGTCCCTGGGAGCAATTCGATGTAGATGTTAGGAATCTTGGGTCCCAGCTGTAGAAGGAAGTTAGGATAGGTAGTGTAGCAGAAAGAACATTGAATTAGGAGTCTGAAATCCTGGTTTCTCCTTTTTCCTCTACCACTTAATACCAGTATGTCCTACATAATTAAGCTGTAGTTTCCTTAAGCACAAATTATAATATGTGTATGGATTATAATATTTCAGATTTTAGTGTTCCCTTCAGATCTGTTTCCAAAACCTTTTTTTTTCTTTTTTACATCCCCCCATCCCCACCCCTCTCCAGCTCCATTACCTGATTTTAAGCCTCACTCACTGGTGAGTCCTAGGCCAGTGCTGACCAGTTACTCCTTTAAGAAAATGTAGATGGTGTTTATAATCCAGAAACCCTGGAATTAAAGCAGCTAAGTTCATTTATTTGAACATCAGTCATAATTTACAGGTGAAATCTGCTATAAATATTTTGTTGAATGAGTAAATATAATTGCAGTATCATAGACCTTAAAGGCCCATCATTCTGGGCATTTTTTAGGGAAGACGTCTAGATACTATACCAAAAATCAGCAGGCATAACCTTCTACAGAAGCATAGAGTCATCTTTTTA